TGCTCTTAGAGCACCCCCTTCAAAGGATGAAGGGGGAGGTTCACACACAAACCAAGAAAAAAATAATAATAATGCAAAACTTGTGAACGTGGGCCGCAGAGGTTCATGGCAGTGAACTTGGTTCACTACTGTTTTGTGGGTCCCACGCCACGTGACGGTCCACGACTGGTCAGTTTTATTATTATTTTTTTAAAAAAAAATCAAACCAAAAAAAAATAATAAAAAAATCAGTTTGTGAATCCCAAGTGGGGGTTCACTGATGCTGATGCCCTTATGTAAGGATTGATCCTTACACTATTCGCAGGCTCCACTGCCCATGTGGCGGTCCGTGAATGGTCAATTTTTTTTTCTAAAGAAAAAATCTGTAATATACTTATATAATCCGAAATACCCATTTTTATTTTTTCCTAAGGATTCCTCTAAAGGATCCGCCATTGCGAGCGGATACTCTAACAAATCCTGACCGTCCATCAACGGGAAGGTGTAGCGTCGCCGTGTAATATAGCCGTCAAACACGTCATCAATATAAACCGGGGCACAGGGATTATTTCACCTTTTCTTCCTGTCTGATTAAAATACAGAGCCACCACAATATATTTGATCGTTACAAATACAAGAGCTTTGGGTTTTCTCCAATGTTATTTTCAGCCTGGGGTTTTGCGAACTAGGGTTTCAGAATTGGTGAGTTTTCGTGATTATGTTCAACAAGTGTGGTTTCGAGATCAATTGTTGTGTTCAGTAATCGAATAATAACAAATGTGGTTTCGAGACCATGCTGTCTCTATTCTTATCTGTGTAATCCTAGTTTTTTTCGTTCTTAATTAGCGTTGGTTTAGTTGAAAGCCCTTTTTCAAAAAATAAAAAATTAGCGTGGGTTTAATCTCTTGTTTGTTTCTCTCGTTTCTTCTACTCTGAAATGGCGAAGTTCATGTTTTTGCAATCCACCAAACACATCTCTTTTTGTGTGTGTTTTTTCCTCTTATGTTAATGATGTCGTGTAATAACTTGTTGGTTTAATGCCACCTAAACCAATCTGCATCTGCCTTTGTAAATTGCATATTGTTATGTTGATTATGGTTTCGTTTCATGCAGGATAAATAAACAAAGATCTAAAGGAGTCGTTTTTTTTTATTAATGGAAGAAAATCCAGAAATGAATCTGGATTTGAATTTTGGTCCTGACCCTGTGGTACGTCTCGAGCCTGCAGCAACGAGTAATGTCGCTGCGGTTTTGTCTGACGTGGCTAACGAACCATTTAACAGAGTCTCTGACTCTCTAAGAAGGTTTAGGACACAGCAGCACGAGTCACGTTCCAGACAGATTAATAGTCTTCCAGCTCTAGCGGAGATACGTATGATTGAGTTGAATCAGTTACTGATCAGCTCTGCAAATGGAGCTGCCTCGCCAGCTGGTACTGAAGGAAGCTTACTTGGTGGAAAAAGAGTCAACGAGGAGGGCTCGAAGAAAGGGAACAAAGTGATGGAACAAGACAGTGTAAACAAGAAGAAGAGAGTTGTTGGAAGCAGCGGAAGCTTTTACGATTGTTATATATGTATGGAACTGTCCACGGATCCAGTTGTGACTACCTGTGGTCATCTTTACTGTTGGTCTTGTCTCTACCGCTGGCTACAGGTTTCAGAGGCAAAGGAGTGTCCTGTCTGCAGAGGGGAAGTATCTGTGAAAACATTGACTCCAATCTATGGCCGTGGGAGGAAGAATAAGAACAAAGAAGGATCCGAAGAGGTTTCAGACACCAACAAGATCCCTGCAAGACCACAAGCAAGGCGCGTTGAGAGAGTGAGGAGTAGACTTCAGAGGCCAGGTTATGTATATGATGATGATGTGTCAATCTTGAGAGAGATACTGAGACAGAGAGCTGCGAGGATGTCGGTTTCTCCTGTGTTGATGACATCTGCTGAGAGGTTCTTGGATAGTGATTTGATGACACATGTACAGGGGAGTAACCAGGAGCGAAATAATGTTCCTAGTGTTGGTGTTGAGGATAGAGATTCGTTGTCAAGTGTAATAGGTGTGATGAACTCGGGGAGTCAAGTTGATACTGCGGGAGCTGAGATTGATTCTGTGGTGAGTGTTTCTTCGTCTGTGGGAAGATCACATGAGAACGGTTCAAGGGTTTCTGATGTTGACAGTGCAGATTCTCGTCCAGTGAGGAGGAGGAGATTGGCTTAGAATGGTGATGTGTAATTGAAAGCTGCAATCTAATTGCTTTGGTTTAGACTTTTTTTGGATTTTGAATGTTGGTATGTCTTCTGGTTTATACTTAGTGATGGTTTTTGAGTCCAAGATGTATAACATATTCAGCTGCTTATAGAAGGGAAAATTCCTTAAAAATACACCAACTGAGTTTCTTTTGCTAAAAAAATACACCAATTTTTTAGAGTTCCCAAAAAATATACAGAGTAATTTTGGTCGTCCACAAAATACATGAACTTTTGAATTTTGAAGGTTTCACACCTCGATTTTAACGGCGTTAATTCTGATTAACAGAACATTTAGACGCCGTTAGACGACGTTAACTCTGATTCAAAAGTTCATGTATTTTGTGGACAACCAAAATTAGTCTGTGTATTTTTCGGGAAACCAAAAAAGTTCGTGTATTTTTTCAGCAAGAAAATTTAGTATGTGTATTTTTAAGGAATTTTCAAAAATATACTAAGGTGGCAAAGACATTGTTTTTTTTTTTTGACTGAAAAATGTAATTTTGAATATATTTTGTTCATATTGAGGCCAGTTTTTCTAGGGTCAGTTCGGATCTATAATTAAAATATGTGTAAAATATCGGTAATTTTTGGATATGTATCATGTAATAGCGAATGTGTTTTGTTTGGGCCGGTTCTTTTCGAATCTAAGTATACATATCTAAGAACCGACCCAAACCCGATCCAGAGACCTGAACAAAAACACATTCTCTTCCACATGATACATATCCAAAAATTACCGATATTTTCCATGTATTTTAATTATAGATCTGAACTGATCTTAGAAAAACCGGTTTCAATATGAACAAAATATAAAGAAGCCAAAAAACACATTGTACATATTCATACACATACACACATTGTTCAAAATATATTAAAATACGTGAGTATTAATATGAACAATGTGTTTTTTTTTTGCTTCTTTATATTTTGTTCATTTTGTTCATATTGAGGCCGGTTTTTCTAGGATCAGTTCGGATCTATAATTAAAATACGTGGAAAATATCAGTAATTTTTGGATATGTATCATGTGGAAGAGAATGTGTTTTTGTTCAAGTCTTTGGGTCGGGTTTGGGCTGGTTCTTAGATCCGGATATCTTAGATCCGAAAAGAACCGGTCCAAACCCAACCCAAAGACCCAAACAAAAACACATTCTCTATTACATGATACATATCCAAATTTTACCGGTATTTTACACGTATTTTAATTATAGATCCGAACCGACCCTACAAAACCGGCCTCAATATGTACAAAATATATTCAAAAATTACATTTTTCAGTCAAACAAAAAAAACAATGTCTTTGCCACCTTAGTATATTTTTGAAAATTCCTTAAAAATACATATACTAAATTTTCTTTGCTAAAAAAATACATGAACTTTTTTGATTTCTCGAAAAATACACAGACTAATTTTGGTTATCCACAAAATACATGAACTTTTGAATTAGAGTTAACGTCGTCTAACGGCGTCTAAATGTTCTGTTAATCAGAGTTAACGCCGTTAAAATCGAGGTGTGAAACCTTCAAAATTCAAAAGTTCATGTATTTTGTGGACAACCAAAATTATTCTGTGTATTTTTCGGGAAGTCTAAAAAGTTGGTGTATTTTTATAGCAAAAGAAACTCAGTTGGTGTATTTTTAAGGAATTTTCCCCTTATAGAATACATTTGTTCAGATTTATGTCTGTCCAAACTTTTTTTTATCAATCTGGTAGAGATAATAGAACATGAACTAGTCGTTGAATTCTGTATTACTCGTAGAGTTTTACGTTTGGCTTTTTATTAATAATATTTATGGATTATCGAACAAAAAGTCGCTTTGGCCGAGTGGTTAAGGCGTGTGCCTGCTAAGTACATGGGATTTTCCCGCGAGAGTTCGAATCTCTCAGGCGACGATATTATCTTTTTTTTTTTTTTTTTGTCAACCGATATTATGTTTTCATACAACATTTTTTTCCTTTTTTTAAAAATATTAAAAACTAAAAACAGTGCTTTGAATAATAGTTCAGACGAGGGCGAAGTTTTTTGAAATTGTGATTTTATATTAAAATATCTGAAAAGATATTGACGGATGAATGTGGTGTAATTGTGTAAACATGTTAATTAAATGTTCGGATAGGTACAATATAGTATATTCAAACAAAAATAGGAACAACTTTTTTGTTTTTTAAGAATAGGAACAAAAAATACTAATATTGAAAAAGCTAATCATCCAAACTATTGACAAAAAAAAAAATCATCCAAACTATCAACCAAAAACATAGAATAAGCAAAATTTATGTTTTACAATGCTTAATAAAATCGAATCTATTTGATCCCTTCTTTATACAACTTTGTGAAAGGAAAATTCATTGAAAGTCAAGATTTTAAAACATAGTAATACATTTTACAAAAAAAATAGTGAATTTGTATATGCGTAATATAATATATAACTGGAATGCTACTTATATTTATTTTCGCATCTTATTTTTCTTCATATCGTGAAGGATTTTTTCAAAAAAAAATTATAGTAGAAAAAATAATAGATAACTACACTGATTTCATCTATATAAATATATGATCCAATCAAAACGTATATAAATTATATTCTACAGATAGAATGAAATCTCACAAAATCTGATTTTAAGAAGATTAGCTTCTATAAAAATTAAACAAACCTTGGTCAATTTAAATATTAATATAAGTCGCATTTAAAAAGTTGTGGAAAACAATAATAAAAGATAAAAAAACAGAGGAAAAAACCATTAAAGGCTATTCATCGAAACAAACAACAACAAGAACAAGACAGGACACAACTATCTCCTTCCTCTTATTAATTTCGTGTCTTGGTAATCCGCGTCTCTTCTCCTTCCTCCTCTCTCTTCAATCTCTTCGTTGTGAATCTGAAGGCAGAGACCTCGATCACTCATACGCGCCACCGTCACCGCCACACCTGGAAAAATTAGGTTTGTGTTTCGTTCATGATGGATTAATCTAAATCTCAAGAAGGCATCTTTGAATTACGAATCTAGCAAAGTATATTGTGAATCATTCATCTTCGTTGATGTTTTTCTTTTTGAAGTTTAGCTTCAATTTGGTCTATAACCCACAACTTATTTGATTTCAAAATTCAAACTTTGCTAGAATGTTCGAGTATTTTTTATTTATTTATTGTTTGTTTCTTATCTGTTATTATTAGGTCAAAACAATATTATCATTCTGAATTTTTGATATGAAAGCTCATCGTTTGTGTTGATAAGATGTAGGTTGTTACTGTAACATGTTACAATATAGTAATTGTGAAGCTTTAGCACATTGATTGTTGATAGCATGAGGCATGTTATGACTTGTGTGAGTTTTCTAGAGTCTAGATGAATGTCAACTTCTCTTTGAGTTTACAAATAAGCAAAGCTATCAATCAAAGCCTAGCTCTTCCACTTAGTACCTTGAAAGGATTGCTAAGTAATCAAGACACCTGAATACCTGATAGAGACAGGCTCAGGGAATGAACTTACTCACAATAGTGCCCAAAGGCTAAACTATTTTTCCCAAACGAAGTGGAAGCTAAGTTGTATAAGGTTTAACCCACACCAATAAGACTTGATGTTCAATATATAATACTGTTGAAGAAAGAAACTTGATCAAGTGAACCAAGTATCTACCTCCTATTCACCTACTTTTCCTCAACTTTTGAACGACTTGTTACCTGCTTGCCTATGATACCATTTACTTCAATTTTTTTGAGTTTTTTTGGGTGAAAAACTTTTATATTTTACTTCTCATGTATATAAAGCTTACATTAACCTTTGTTTTTTTTTCTGCAGGGGAGAGCAAAGATTTAAAGGAGTATCGCATATACCACAAGAGAGGCCAAGTGCATTATACTTGATTGCTAATAGGAAGTAAAGAAAGTTTTGGACGACTCTCTATGGCTCCTGGTGGCAATACTTACAAAGAAGCCTTGGAGTCTAACACGACAGGCTTATCTTACGAGGTTAAGATGCCTAAAGTAGAGGCTAATAACAAACCAGCCAAATCAGGTAGTAGTGGCTTCATTGGAAAATATGGAATCCATTCAAGCAATGGTGTTTACGAGCTTCTTGAATGTCTAGTTTGCACAAATCTTATGTATCCTCCAATCCATCAGGTGTGCCACTCTTTCTTCTCCCAACACTCACTTTACCTTTGTCCAGATTCAGTCTTGACATCTATACTTTTTTAATTTCCCATAGTGTCCCAATGGCCACACATTATGTTCAAGCTGCAAACAAAAAGTACATAACACGTGCCCTACATGCCGTTTCGAGCTCGGCAACATAAGATGCTTAGCTCTTGAGAAGGTTGCGGAGTCATTAGAGGTTCCATGCCGGTACCAAAGCTTAGGGTGTCATGACATTTTCCCATACTACAGCAAGGTCAAGCACGAGCAGCACTGCAGGTTTCGATCTTACAACTGTCCTTACGCTGGCTCTGAGTGTTCTGTGACGGGAGACATTCCAACTCTCGTTGAGCATCTCAAAGATGATCATAAAGTCGATATGCATAGTGGTTGCACTTTCAACCACCGTTATGTCAAGTCAAATCCTCAAGAAGTGGAGAATGCCACGTGGATGCTCACGGTATGAGAGAAAGAACTTGCGTTTTTCACTATGACTTGAATTTGGAATCTTATCTCTTGTCTGATGCTTTTGTTTAGGTGTTCAACTGTTTTGGGAGACAGTTCTGTTTACACTTTGAGGCGTTTCAGCTGGGGACGGCACCGGTGTACATGGCGTTTTTGCGGTTCATGGGAGACGAGAACGAGGCCAAGAAGTTTAATTACAGCTTGGAAGTTGGAGCTCACAGCCGTAAGCTGACGTGGCAAGGGATTCCAAGAAGCATCAGAGATAGTCACAGGAAGGTTCGTGATAGTCAGGACGGACTCATCATCCCTAGAAACATGGCTTTGTACTTTTCTGGTAGTGACATAGAGGAGCTGAAGTTGAGAGTCACTGGGAAGATTTGGAGAGAAGAGTAGATGAATGACAAAGATGATTCATGAGGGAAGAGAAGAAAGATATAATAAGCTCTCTAATGATGTTTTTTGATTTGGAAACCGAGAGGGATGATGTACATAGCAGTCTTGAGAGCTATGAGATGAATATCTCCGGTGATGTGGTTTGAAATTATGCTGTTTTGCGGTTTTACAAATATAAAGACAGTTTTCTTTTTGGTTGTTCTTGTATCAAAATTGATTTTTTTTTAATCTTTATTGGACCATACAGTATGGTTCATAATAACTCTTAGTCATCAACTCATCAATACTTGGTCACTGGAAGTTAATTTTCCATAAGTAAATTTATCTTTGTAAGTGAAAGTGTTAAAGGAGGAAGAGATGAATAAACATAAGGAATTAAATAGACACAAACATTTAACGGGGTTAAGTGAAATTCGGATTAAATAGTGTTACCAGGTCCTGCTCAAACTAAAACTGGATCCTATGGAAACCTATTTTCTAATCAAAACTAAATCTATATTTAGCAAATAAAAAATTTGGACATTTTCTTGTAAAAATACAAAAAGTAAGACTCTAAAATATGAAGAAAAAATTTAAATTAAAATCGGGCATGTGTTTTAGCAAATAAAAAATTTGGATATTTTCTTGTAAAAATACAAAAAGTAAGACTCTAAAATACGAAGAAAAAATTAAAATTAAAATCGGGCATGTGTTTTAGCAAATAAAAAATTTGGACATTTTCTTGTAAAAATACAAAAAGTAAGACTCTAAAATACAAAGAAAAAACTAAAATTAAAATAGGAGCATATGTTTGTGCACCATTGGCACATGCCTAAAGCCAATACTGGTTACCGACTATATCAGATTTAATGTGGTTAAGTGAAATTCGGATTAAATAGTGTTACAGATTATACCAGAATGATTAATTATGATTTCAAGCAGATGATGTTAGACGAACTTTTAGAATATAGAGTTATGAATAATGATTACGAAAGATAAGTTAGAGCACTATGGTCGGAGAGGACGTGCAAGACGTGAAGACAACGCTTGACACTTCCTGATGATTGGTTGTATTAAATTTAAAGTATAATTAAGCGAATGTGTGTTTTGGATTCCGATATTATCGCGGAACAGAGAAAACAGAGAGACTTGCAAACATTCCGAGACAACCCAAATAAGAAAAAATCTATTTCTTTTCTTTGTCAAGCTTCCAAATTTCCAAAGAAAACAGAATCAAAGAATCGTAGAAATCAAACGTTGTTTTATTCAAGCTTCAAAGAATCACATCCTTTGTGGTTTTCTGAAGTTTTCACTTATCATCATCATTATTTTCTACGGTTAACTTGATGGCAGAATTGAGGTAATAATCACATTTCTTCGATCTTTTTTTTTACCATTAACGATTTTTCTAGGTTTTGTCCCTTTATCTTCCACATTATCACAATCTTGAAATAATGTTCTGCATTCAAATCGATTATACAAATGGATTTAGATTCATAAAATGGGAAACATATGCACATGATTAATACGCATTTTGTAAGATGTTATTAACAGATAAAACAGAGATTAACAGAACACAAGAATAAGACCAAATAAACACACACGTGTTGTCAGAAGATCTGAAAACATGTTCTGTTGCGGAGGTGCGGATGAGGAACCCGCTGGTCCACCCGCAAACCAGTATTCAGCCCCTCCTAACAAGGCTGGAAACCCTAACTTTGGCGGTAAGAAAACCCTAATTTTCTGAATTTATGCCTTCTCTGTTCTGAGTTTCACCACCAGCTTTGTACGTTTTGTGAATAGGTGGAAATAGAGGGGAGCCGAGGAACACGAACGCACCGAGAGCAGGAGGTCCTGCAAAGGTGTTACCTATAGAGATCCCTGCTGTTGCATTGGATGAGTTGAATAGAATGACGGGTAACTTCGGTAACAAGGCACTGATCGGTGAAGGTTCTTATGGACGTGTCTTCCAAGGCAAGTATAATGGAGACGATGTTGCTATTAAAAAGCTTGATGCTAGCTCTGAAGAACCTGACTCGGATTTCACCTCACAGGTATATCACCAAAACTGTTGATCTTTGAGATCATTTTCCGAGTAAATCGATGAATCTTTTTGGCTTAGATCATGGTGTTTTGTAACCTAATTAGTAAATTTTGTTAACCAAAATGGCAAGTTATCGGTTGTATCACGGCTCAAAAACGAACACTTTGTGGAGTTGATGGGGTACTGCTTGGAAGCAAATAATCGCATTCTCGTCTACGAGTTTGCAACCAAAGGTTCTTTACACGATGTGTTACACGGTACGTAAATTACACTCTAAACAGTCAAAGACTCATATTATAGTAAATGGTATATATGTATGGGTCACATATTTAGGGAGAAAGGGCGTGCAAGGAGCTGAGCCAGGACCGGTGCTGAACTGGAACCAAAGGGTTAAGATCGCATATGGAGCAGCTAGGGGGCTTGAGTTTCTTCACGAGAAGGTCCAGCCATCAGTAGTACACAGGGACGTAAGGTCGAGCAATGTCTTGTTGTTCAATGACTTTGTGGCCAAAATGGCTGATTTCAACTTGACCAATGCATCATCCGATTCCGCGGCTAGGCTTCATTCTACTCGAGTCTTGGGAACGTTTGGCTACCACGCTCCAGAGTACTGTACCATACACCCATTAATTCATATTTTTATAAGAGAAATCACATGTGTTTCCAATATAAAAACAATTGGTGATAAGTGGAGTGATCGATCTCTATAATATATTTCTAAAGATCCTTTTGAATTTCCTATGTGGAATTTTGTCCATAATACTACATACAGGGTTCTATATAACGTAAGAGTAATTTATTGTTTTAGGTATGCAATGACGGGACAGATAACACAGAAGAGTGATGTGTATAGTTTTGGTGTTGTGCTTTTGGAGCTCTTGACGGGAAGAAAACCTGTTGATCATACCATGCCTAAAGGCCAACAAAGTCTTGTTACTTGGGTACGTGCGTACACATTGTTAGAGTAGATATGTTTGGAAGCGATCCATTTATATCGATCCTTATCAATGATAAAATCTTGCTTTTGCAGGCAACTCCGAGACTAAGTGAAGACAAAGTAAAACAATGCATAGATCCTAAGCTTAACAATGACTTTCCTCCCAAAGCAGTCGCCAAAGTATGTTTTACATTTACTTAATCAAATAATTAAGATATCAAACTGACATCATGGCTTATAGACCTTGAAGTATGAAATAGCTTTTGCCATCCTAGTCATCTTACAATATATAAAACTATTTTGCATGTAGATCATTTAGAGATTTCGTTTGTAACTTTCCTAGAAACCAAATGCTACGTTTCATGGCTTGCAAATTCGAAACTAATTGACAAGTAATAAATTGATGTGTGGATATTCATATTGTAGAATAGTAGTTTAGGTTTCTTATTTCCCGTGTAAAATTACTAATATTTGTTTTTAGGAAAAAAATTACTAATATTTGTGGTAATTGAGAATCAAATATGTGGAGTGTCGTTATTAGACACGTTGTTTCATGACTCATATTGAATACCAGGGACATCAATTCAAAGTTGATGGCTAAAAATGCTTACTTTAGTTTGGTTTTGTAATGTTGAATTTTGATCAGTTGGCAGCTGTGGCGGCCTTGTGTGTTCAGTACGAGGCAGACTTTCGACCCAACATGACAATCGTTGTCAAGGCACTTCAGCCTCTTCTTAACTCTAGACCGGCCGGTCCTGAGTCTACTTCCTAAATAACAGATTTACCATTTCTCTTGTTTTTGTTGTTGTTGTTGTAATACTGTTATGGCTATTTTTTCCCTCCTTTCTGTGTCAGATAACTATGATTATTGATTATAAGATGTTATTTAATCGAATGTAACTTATACTTTTTTTTTATTAAGCCCTAGAGCAACTCTATCCATAGTATAATAATGAAGTTCTCAAAAAATGATCAGATACTAATTAATTATGTTAAAATGATGGATGAACTTTTTATAAAGTGATTAGATGTTAATTAATTAATTAATGTTAAAGTTATTGGCGTTTCGGTCTTCAGATGTCTGCATGTATGAGAGGTACAACCTCTCATTTTCTATTTCTACGCTTAAGCACATTGGAGGAAAAATGGGAGCTACAAGCCTACAACATCTTACATGGATTAACCTGGACAAGGTGACAAAGATTAAGTCTGGCTCGGAGTTGTTGCGAGTCAATTCGTCTGTGTCGTTTTTCTGAAGTCGAGTTACTAAGTTCGATGTTTATACGGATTTTATTTCAGTCCCCGGTTGTGATTTGTTCTAAATGTTTTTTTTTTTGAAAAAGATAAATAAAACTAAATATTTTATTAAGAAAAAATATCTCCCTAAGTTTTAGACAAGTTGACCTTAATTAGACAAGTTGCCCTTAAGGTCAATGTGTCTCAGTATGGAATGAGATATAAAACTAATCATATAGAAACCATTAGAAAAGACAAAGAGTTATTTTATAAAAATTGCAGACCATCATATACATCTCAAAACATGAATAAAACAAAGTGAGGATTACAACATTATGACGACACAAATTAAAGAAGAAACAAAAAAACACTATGACGACACCCACACATGGAACCACAAAATCCTTACCGTATGAAACCACACTATTACAACAAATGTAAATAACATATACACATTATTACCTTGTTTAAATAATTTTTTAACAACCCGCCCCCTGCCCAGCAACTCTCTGTCTCTCTGTCTCCCTCTCATATATATACTTAAGCAGCAAATCTCATCATTTATCTTGAAGAACTCTGTCTCGCATCTCTATTCAACCCATCACAATTTGATTCGATTCGGATTCCAAGAGATTTTTATCTAGAAGATGCCTGGTTTAGCACACAGGAATGAGCATTACTCTTGTGGGTTCAAAGACGTTGATGGAGTCAGCTACAATCAACTTCACAAGGTACATCACGTCTCTACATTTTTACTATTGTCTTTGAACTTTTTTCTCAATAAGTGTTTAGGTGCTTCTAATGAATGTGGTTGTTAGCGTGATTTAATCTGAATTATTTGAGAGTAATTCATTTTGTTTTGAACTCATTATACAGTTCTGGAGTGAGCTATCTCCGGAAGCTAGACATGAGCTTCTCAGGATTGATAGGCAGGCTCTTCTTGAGCTAGCTCGTAAGAACATGTGCTGTTCTAAATGCATTGGCCTGCTTCTTGAAGGCTTCTTGCATATTGTTTCACATGGGAAGTCAATGCAACAAAAAGAAGATCTCCCATGCAACAAATCAGGAGCTTCAAAACATGATAGTAGTCACAGATGTAGCTGTGAGTTGCAAGACCCTTCTGTTCATCGATGGGGAGGTCTCACAGCAACACACGATGGATCACTTACACTTCTTGATTGCTATTTGTTTGAAAAATCTTTCAAAGGACTTCAAACTGTAAGACGTTTCATCCACTGTGTCCTTATTATATGTTGGGTCTGTCCAGTTTAGTTTACTTAATTTTATTGGCTTTATCAGGTGTTTGAAAGTGCCAGAGCTCGAGAGAGGGAACGTGAGTTGCTATATCCTCATGCTTGTGGAAGTCAAAGAATGGTTGGTTATGGTAAAGGCCATGGAACAAGAGATACATGTGACATACATACCACAAGGCTCTCTTGTGATACATTAGTAGGTTTTTGTTCTGCACTTGACAAAGAAAGTAGACAATCAGTTTTGAGGATGAAAGAAGAGGATTTCATTGAAAGACTAACTAACAGGTTTGTTGTTATCTACTGATTCAATTTCTATCTCAAGTTCAATTGAGAAAGATTTAGAATATTTAACCTATTAACTCATTTTAGCTCTATTTATTTATTTTTTTGTTATATGGTCTTGTGACTTTTTTCCTTTCCTCAGTATAACATACTCACATGCTGTTTTTTTTTAAACTAATAGATTCAAACGCAAGAAGTTTTGTAAAGACTGCAGAAGAAACGTTATTAGAGAGTTTAAAGAGCTAAAGGAACTTAAACGAATGCAGAAAGAGCCACAATGTACAGACTGGTTTTGTGTTGCTGACACAGCCATTCAATATGAGGTATTTATCTTTCTTAACATGTTACCAATAAAACTTATATTGCAAGGTTAGAATAAGAAGTGATAATTGCTACTATTTATTTCTTAGGTGGACAATGATTCTGTCAGAGCAGATTGGAGTCAATATTTTAAAGAGAATGATGGATACCAGTACATCGAGTGGGGTATTGGAACTGAAGAAGGCGAAACCGATATTCTCAAGTACCAATATGTAGGCAATGATGGGAGCGGTCAAGTTAGTGGCCTAGACCTTCGTGGATTACGTGAATGCTACATCACTGTCAGGGCTTTTAAAGACAGTGGCTGCTGCTCTGAGGTATCAGTTAAAGCACATGCGTTGAGAGGCCAACAATGCGTTCACTCCTGGCTTGTGGTTGGAGATGGTTTTGTTTCGGTTAAAAGAGGGGAATGTATTAGAATGCTTTTTGATCATGCTGAAGAGGTGGAGGAAGAAGAGGTAAAACCTTTAAAAAATGTTTACAATTTGTTTTTTTTTTTAATACAATTTGGCTGATATGATGTTTCTAATGGTATATAAGGATGAAGTCATGGTTGACAAAGATGGGAATGAGGTTGCTGGTGAGCGTCCACAAAAGCATGCTAAGACTCCAGAACTAGCTCGAGAGTTTCTTTTAAATGCTGCATCTGTTATTTTCAAGGAGCAGGTTCGTTGTTATAGAATCCTTTTAAGTTCACAACATTCGATTGATTGTTACTTTCTGTTGTGTTTAGGTGTATTCATTTCTATATGTTTCATAATAATGTTTAGGTTGAGAAAGCATGTAGGGAAAGTACAGCACGTGAAAATGCACAGAGTGTATTTGTATGCCTTTCATGTAAGCTATTAGAGCAACGTGTTCACATTGCCTGCAAGGAGATTGTCACCTTGGATAAGCAGGTTTGTGTTACTATCTTAATTTTTTTTTTTTTTTTTTTTTGACTTAGGCAATTTAACAAGACGTTTTTTACATTTAAAATCTACTCCATGTTTGCAGAAACAACTTCTTGAGGAAGAAGAGAAAGAAAAGGAGCAGAAAGGAAGGAAAAGAACTAAAGAAAGGGAGAAAAAACTTCGTAGAAAGGAGAGGTTGAAGGAAAAAGAGCAGAAAAATCCAATGTTTAGTAATAAACCAGTGCTGCTGCCAGTTTTGTCAAGGGAGGAAGAAGTGTTCTTGAATCTTGATGAGGAAATGAACACTAGTGTAAGCTGCGAGGAGTCAGTAAATGAAACTGGAGATCTAGATCTGTCTCCACCAGGTTCTCCTGTAGAAAAACATGAAGAAGAGGAGAGAAAAAGAAGGAAGAGAACAAAAGAAAGGGAGAAAAAAATTCGTAGAAAAGAGAGGTTGAAGGAAAAAGATCAGAAGAATCCAAAGCTTAGTGATAAACCAATGCTGCCAGTTTTGTCAAGGGAAGAAGAAGTGTTCCTGAATCTTGATGAGGAAGTGAACACTAGTGTAAGCTGCGAGGAGTCAGCACTTGGTTCTCCTGATGATCAAGATGGAGATTGTTTGGATGGTTGCACTTCTCCAAGAGCGCAAACACAAACACACTATTGTGATAGCAACACTGTTAGAGAGGTTATAATAGATCAAGAAGATGGAAACGGCTGCTTTACAACAAAGGAAGGCAAGAAGATGGAAGATGACATGTACTTGAAAGATCCTATGATGAGTAGAACCTCAAGTTCAGATAGCTGCTCTTCATGTATTACTGAAGGAGATAGCAACGGAAACGCTGAAATCCTCTCGATGTCTGATTCAGAAGATGCCGGTCTGCATTCTGAAGGAAGAGATAATCTAATCTTGATGGCAGAGAAAGAAACAGAGAAGAAGAGTATTGATGAAAGAGACCTTATAAGGATTAAGAATATATCTAATCTTCCAGCTGATACTGGTTCTTGCCTATCCCAGCCACAAAGCAGCATGATGTTTCCTAAAGTGCCAGCTCCTGGTTACTACCATCAAGATCCAGTCTCTTGGTCTGCAGGTCCAACCAACAGACTAATGCCACTCCCTCCTCCTCATCCTAACCCTTATGTTACATACAAAGGTCCTCTTGGATACGGTTTGAATGGAGAGTCCCCGTATGGGACCCCATTGAACCCTTCAGCAACCCCTTTCTTCAACTCCAGGCCAGCTCCAGTTTCTCATCCGTCAGTTGAAAACAACACAATGAACACTGTGGACCAAGGTCACACTCTTGAGCCATTAGAAGCAGCAGATGAAAGGAGAGACATGGAAACTCCAAGCAGCAGAGGTTCTCAAACTGATAGTGACGAAGGCTTCTCCTTGTTCCACTTTGGTGGGCCGGTTGCTATGTCTACAGGATGTAAGTCGAGTCATGCTCATTCCAAAGATGGGATTTGGGGGGACTTCTCCTTGCACTTCTCAGGAGATCATGTTTTTGGTGATCTCCTCACAGGCAACTGTAAGAAGCCGAAAGAGAGCTGCACAGTAGGTGAAGAGTACAACTTGTTTGCGAAAAGTAACACCTTGAGGTTTTCTATCTTCTAAAAAGGTTTATCATACAGTCTCTTGGACTGCTTATTGTGGTTCAGAACGCAGTAAAATCTTTGTTGGTTGTTTTTTTTCATGTAGAGATCTCTCTTCAAGAGTTTTATAGTCTTTTTTCTTGTCAAAGGTTCTGATTTACTTAAGATGAATAATTTTCCCTCATTGTTGGGGAATGGGGGTGCATCTCATTAACACAACGTGTACACAAAACAGCTCAACACAGACAAAAGATCTATTAGTTATCTTTGACATAATCTATTGATGGGAGAAGTTTAGGACATCATTCTGAGGGTATATGTTTAAAGATGAGGGAAATTTTTTTTTTTAATGTACATCATTTTGAGAAAAAAAGATATGAGTTTATAAATAGTATTCTTTCAAATTTTAAAGATACTATTCACAACTTCATTCTAGTGTTAGACTTTTTATATTTACAAATTAATCTTTAAACTTTTATATACCTTTGTTTTGTTTTTAAAAAGATTTAATATTTGTGTTCATAATTTAAAAATATTATTAAACTTTCACAATTATAAGTTTATAGAAATTAATTTTTATTTTTTAAAAACTAAATTTATGAATATAATAAAAATAGCTATAATAAAATGATTTTTGATAAATTTTGTAAATTTTTAAAATTCAAATAACAAATATTATTAGAACTAAAAGTAAGTATTAATAACAAAATATACTTGAAATACTGTATTTTGATGTGAAAAATAAAGGAAAACATTAAAGTAAAACATACACTCATTTGAAGGAAAAAAAAACAAATGGGGCTAACCATTGAAAATGTCCATATAAATTATTTTTGATTGCAAAGACAAGACTTGATGCAACGTCTCTGGGCTGAAATAAGAAAGCATACAAGGCCCACAAATGAATAATTTGGCAAAAATTTAGTTAACGACGTAGCGACGGCGGAAACATTCTCAGAGAGGAAACAAGAGCAGGGTGATCCGGCGATTGAGAGATAGAAAGATGGGAACTAGACAAGTATACGAAGAGAAGCTGAGACGCGCGAATCTTGAGTATGATCCGACCATGAACCCTGGTCTTGGCTCCGCTCGCTGTCCACGTTGCCTTTCTCTCTTAACCCCTAACTCAGTAAGCTCTTTTCTCAGTTGTCTTTGTGTTTTGGATTGTGTCTGAAAATCAGTTTCATTTGTTCCTTTTTTTTTGAAAATTTAATCAGGAGAAAGGAGAGTGGACAATAACTCCAGTTCTACACGATGCTGCTGCTGTGGTAAAATTTTAACATTCTGCCTAATCTCAGACATCTATCTGAAGAATTGTGTTCTGTCTCCGTTTCAATCTTGTGATCTGTGTTTAGTTTAGCTGATTTTACACTAAAGTTGTATTCTTTACTGAGAAAATAAGCTGTAGCTAGTTGTTCTGGACTCTTATCTTGGATGATAAATATGTATACAAATCACCTGACTTTATATTCAGTTATGTTCAGAATTAGAATCTGGATTATAGTTTAGGTGATTAAACTCTACTGTGTATGTTAAAGTTTTAACCTTTTTATTCGTTGACTTCTGAAGATGGCTTTTTCAGGTTATTGTTTAAGTTTTTTTTTTTTACTTGAAATTATTGGTCTTAGCTGGTTGGTGCAGAGCATCATAGTCTCCAATTATCTTCAGTTCACTGATTTGTAATTCAGATTGTTGATTTTTGAGGATCCCTGAATTACCATGACATGTAGTGGATAAACATGAACATTGATTAGTTTGCTTGTGCGTGTAGAAAGTGTGCTACTCTGTTTCTAACTAGGTATCTCATGTGCTATAGGCTGGTTCTGGTATTGGTGGCTTGCTTAGTGCCGTCCATGCTTTCAACACAGGTAATCATATGATTCTCGTTTGGTTTAATTACTTATCATTTCTACAATTGATCTTAATCTCTTCTGCCTTTTCAGGGATTCCCTATCTTCAAAATCGGTTTTCAGGGTCAAAACGTCTCTCTTTCCTTGTCGGAGTACGCATCTTATCTTCCTTCGCCTTCTTTTTTCTAGAACTCTGTCTGTTTCCTCATTGCTTCTCACTTATTGCTTTTACTTATAGGTTCCATTGCTGCTAGGGTATTCAGGTGTAGGGGCTGCCTTTGGAGGTAGCATGATCTTCTTTGGCTCACTTGCTTCTCTTGTACCTAAATATTTATTATGTATATATCCTGCGTTAGTGATTTTGTGGGGTTTGAACCTGTTAGAATTCTCTGTTTATATCACCTTGGAGAACTTATGTCTATGTTCAGTTCGCATACTTAATGAGGCTTCGGATAGAATAGTTTCCTCTTTGTTGAGTATTACTTTCATCAGCATCATGTCCATGTGGTAGTGGGTATGTTAGTAGCTTCTTACCTGTAGGCTATGTAACACGTTCACTGTCTTTCTGTCTTCGTTCAAGAATAGCACCTGAACTTTTTGATCTTTGTATAATATATGGTAGGTTATGCACTTCCCAAGTTTGCTCAGCTGACAGTTACCTCGTATTATGCATCTTCAAGTGCTTCACATTATGCGATCTCTATGCTCACCCGCCGCATCGAAGACGCTCATCTCTCGAGAACTCGGAAAGAAGATGTTAAATGAAGTCATGCACAGATAAACGAGACTCTGTTGCACGCTTCGGTCTTAGTAGCTTATTTGAAAAGTTATCCTTCTATTTGTTCTTTTTTTGTTTCTTACCATGCTCTCTAGCTTATACCTTGGTCACATCTATAATGTTAATTACTCAACATGGTTATATATAAAATATAATGCATTTTTTGTTCCTCTACACGTCTATAATATCATATTGCTATTATAATTTTTGTAATAATGGCTTCCTGATTCATTTTGTAAGCAGTCATGTAACTACAAGAAGTCAAGAACCATGTCTTCTCATGAGTGATTACGCTTTACATATGAATCTAACTTTCTTCATGAGTTTTGTAGCTTTGGTTACCAAAACAAAGGCCATCATTTTAGAAGCTTGCATTGTTTGTGACTTAGGCCTGTGGATTTTGTCCGACCAGCCAAACCAAACCAAAAGTTTTGGTTCTCAGTTTGGTTACAGTTTAGTTAATGAAATATAATTCGGTTATTCCGTTTTCTAAAAAAAAACTCAAAAACCTGAAAATAAGAACTAACCAAAATAACTAAATTAAACCGAAACAATCTGAACTTTTTTACCAAACATTCTGAACTTTCTTAAATACATATACCGAAATTAAACCGAAATCCCAAAAATCAGTTATTTTCAGGGAAAAAAATATAAAATCGAACCAAACCTATTTTATTCTTGGTTTATTGTTGTGGGATTATGGCCAAACCAAATTAACCAAAACCGAAAATATCTGAACCGAAAAAACCGAAACCACATGCCTAGTTTGTGTGAATCAGATTCTATCTTGAAAGGTGTCTAAGATGTGTACAGTTAGAACTATCATCCTCAACTTGTGTGCCGATGTTCTTAAGTTCCACTAGTCCTTTTACATATCTAAAAAGGAGACAAGTGATAAGAGAAAAGTGGTCCTAAGGTTTGCATAATGTATGTGTAAGCTCTGCACACGTCTTTATTATGTGCTTCTTTTATCATGTTGTTCATCACATGCTTGCTTCTTCATTGCATTAACTTTAGTGGGGTCCTTGATGCTAACTCTTTGACACCATATATCCTTAAAAATTGCCATAACTTGATAAAACCATCACGTAATTCTCAGATGTGCTGTGTTCTCTGGTTTAGCCTCTGCAATTTTGTTATCCAAACAACTGTTTCGGCGAGTGCATATAAGTCTTTTTTTACTTGTCTTTTCATTTGGCTTTTTGTTCCCATAAGACTTGTCTGAAAAAAACTTATGTTTGGCTGAGTTTGCACGGTCTGGTCCTTCGTTATCACAATAACAGAACTAAACTTTAGGATTAGTGGTATAATATTAGTTAATAACAATAATCTGATTAGACTTCACAAACGTTTCATGACATAACTAATTAGAGTACTAAGGACAAGTTTCTCTTCAGATCAATCATATACTTGTATCTACGAGAGTTCTTAACTGCATTTTTGCCGCAAAGATGTGATGGAAGTTATGATCAAAGTTATGCCAAAACTAGAGAAGTCAAGCTTTTGAATTTTTTTGGTCTATACAAAAGTCATACCTATTATACGGTGGTTGTCTTTAATGTTCAGATTAGTGTAACACATGTTGGGTACGAGGATTGATATCTCTGGTTCTTATAATCATATATATACGATAATAATTTGTTATGATTGTAAATGCATAATGGCCTATTATCAAACTCTGCTCTCTGGAGGTAATTAGAAAGAAACATGGCTAATTACTTTTTGCTGCCTTTCAACTCCATTATATTGCTCATGGTGTATGCATAGAGATGAACAAGTAAATATATTGGTATACAACTTTGTTAATGTTTCTTTCTCAATTTCCCCAAAACGGTCTGAAAAGAAGAAAGCTTTTGAGGGTATACTTTCATAGCCTTAGGTTCTGTGTGTTGAGAGATAGATGTGGAAGCTCACTTTGGCTAACTCTATACATTAACAATGGACCACTCTCACTTCTCAACACTCTTTCTCTCTTCCACCTTTAATTTGTCTTGTCCATTGTCTTCAGTGATCCCCACAGTCACCGAGTCATCATCATTCATCAACACCAAGAGCTTTCTTCTTTGCCCCTTGATTCGGTAAAAGACCATTTCATTAAACAGAGACTGTATAACGTTTTCATCTAAAAACATTTGTAGGTTTAATTGGTTATAAAAGACAATACAATGTGATTTAAGAAGACACTGATCGAGACTAGAATTTTCGTGACAGCAATAACAGGGACAGTACTTATACGTATGACTTCCATGACTCTTAATTTAATCGGGCGCTAAGCCATCTAGGTGCTAGGTGCCATTCATGCGACCTAATTTATGTCAAATTGTTTTTCAAAAAATCGGATGTCCGATTTTAGTTTATCTAAGCCGTTTAAATGACTGGTCTATCCGCCTAAATGACAGTCAAAATTATTTTTTTAATTATTTTTTTATTTCCTTTTTAAATAATTTTTTATTTTTAATTAATTTGATCTAAAATATTATAAGTAAAATTTAATTTTGATCAAAATCATATTGTATTAAGTTGATATTTTATATTTGTGTCTTTTATATAATTATAAACATGAAAATGTAATAATTTTATAAAAAAAATAAAATTAACATGTTTTATAACATATGAAACAATCTAAAATTCTGTTTCGCGTAATTCTTATTTAATTTTTGATTTTCTCGTTAAACGCTAGGTCTGACCCAGCCGCCTGACAAGCGCCTAGCGTAACTCCTAACATGGGTTGTTATAGAATCTTAAAGCCATAATAGAACTCATAAATGAACACATAGTTTAACATAGTATCATTCACACATGAGATAAGAAAATGGATAAACATATTTTACTAATTTAATCATATATTATTCCCTTATTAATATATAAACTCTGAATTTTTTTTTGAAGAAAAAACTCAAAGGTTCAAGAACTGGTTGTTTCATCACGGCTAGGTTTAAATGATATACCAACACAAAAGAAGAAGTGTCAAAGATGAAGATCGAGACTCACATGATCTTTCACATTGGGTTTCATCAATCCGTAGGGCCAACTCGGCTCCCTACTCTCCTGGTCATGGGTCCTAAACGCTAAAGCTGGTGAAGCTGAGTAAACTCCATGAATAGCGTTTGTTGACGTGGAAGGCTGTACACGCCAGAAACCTAAAGGACTTCCGTTGATTGTCGGTGGGTTATAAGAAGGAGGAGGAGGAGGAAGAGGAAGAGGAAGAGTGCGTGAGTAATACGACGGCGTTTCTTGTACTTCTCCACCACCGTAGAATCTAGCTTCCGTCGTCCACGAGGGATAGTGACGGTGCTGAGGGTTGTTGAGGAAGCCGTAGACGTGGTGAGGCTCAGGCTGATGATAATGATGATGGTGATGGAGGTATGGGCTCATGGAACTGCGTTTGGCGTGTTGGCGTTCGCGTTTGTGAGCGTTTTGGTGTCCACCTAGGGCTTGAGAAGTGGGGAAGTTTCTGAAACAGTAGTGACACTCGAATCTCCTGTTGTTGATGTTGTCTTTTTCCTTGTCTTCCTTGACATTCTTAGAGCTCTCGTGGTTGATCTTGGTTGTTGTAGTTTCACACGCGAGCTCTTGGCCGAAGAGACGAATCATGGAAACTTTATCTTTGGGAGGAGTAGGGCGGATGAATGGTAGCTGAGAAAAGGATTCAACATTGACGTTCATGAAGTCGTGAGTTTCTCGAATTTCAATGGTTTCTTCCATGAGAGAGAGAGAGAGAGAGAATGAGAGTGAGGTTATGACAAATGAGGTTGACTGTTCTAGACAAAGAGATATGAGGTTCGTAATAATTTAAAGAGGTTCCAACATTCGTTTATTTAAGTCTTAAACCTAACTAAATCTCAACCCGAACAAACTGTGCATGCAAGTTTCTTTTATTTCTATACTAAAATATTTAAATTTATAAAAAAAAATTTACCAATAACTTAATGTAATTTAGTGATATATATTGTGTAATTCTATATTAGCTATGTTTTTTTTAACATTGGTAACAATTACATCATCATAGTCATTACTCTATTACATATGATGATCAACTATCTGCAACATAAGCAATTTTGATGAACAACTCTACGGATGGTTCTATGATAAAACTCTCTCCGTAACACTTGGATCGACGCACGGTTTTGCATGTACGACACCCTCGATAGATATACCCACTCCGCACAAACAGTCACAATGAACGGCTCTCTTGCAGTACTCTAGAACCTCTGATAAGCTTGTATCCTATAATCATTAGGCTACGGTGCTTCCACATGTTAGCTATGTTTACGTGGCTTATATATTATTATTATTATAAATTTTGTATTTGTAACAAAAATTATTTTAAAAATATTATTATGTAACAATACTATTTTATACAATATTTTTGAATTTAAAATTTATGTGGAAGCCAATTAGATTGGACATATATAGTAGAGAAGATATTTTTTGAGATGTTGTTAAAAATATAATTTGTTTTTAAAGAGAAACTTTATTATTGTACTTCAAAATAATTTTGTTGTAAATATCATATTTAACAAATACACGTTGTTGACAAAAGAAAACAAATACACTAAGTTGGATAAAATATCTTCTTTTAATTTGAAATAGAAATGAATCTTTATAACAAATTATTTGTAAAGTACATTTTAAAAAGGAGAGTTTAAATTTTGTTATCATTAAATATGTAATGAAACTATTTTATATAATTTTAAAATTTGTGTATAAATCACAACTACATTAAATTTTAATTTCTAATTATATTTTATATTAATATTTTGATAGAGTGAAAAAATAATTAAATATGTTGTTAGGATTTTATTATGAAAAACAGAAATTGTGACTTCTCTTTTAATAGTATTGATTCGTCATTAGGTTGTATTCTAGATTTTAATGTTTTAGTTGGAAGAATAGAATTATAGATATTATAGCGCTTTATCACATGTATGAGATTTTTTTATATAGATTTGTAAAGACGAACCTAATATACCAAAATATATACATATTTTGATAATTCATATGAGCTCTCTTGTGTTGTTAATATACATTAGTTACACTTCAATCAAACAAACACTTAAGTAAAATACACATGTACAATTTCAGTTACACCCACACCAAATATTTTTTTAAATATGTAATTTTATCGATTATTAATATTTCCATGGAAAGTAAAACACATGCTGCAAAAATGATTGTCATGGAAATTTTTGTTCTACTTGTAAAAGATGTGATTGATGTACATACATGGAAATAAACCTGAAGTTAAGGTTACCAAAAAAAACTGAGTTTCTGGTCGCATGCTTGACATTAATACAGGGACATGTCTATAGTATTAATTTAAAGTACATATGTATCTTGTATACATTGGGTAGTGTATATATGTAGTATATATATTGTTTAAACAGCATCTTGTTATGATATGGTTAATATCACTTATTGCAATGTCGAGAGATCCAAGCATCTTCAGAGACTGTTTTCAATTATTTACAAAACTCTTTGGTTGAGTTCTTCAACGTCGATATCGACTTATTTATGTTCTTTCGAACGTAGGCTTTAGTATTACAAAGCGAAGATTTTCTGGTTTCTTCTCTTCTTAGTCACATCTATCTTTCATTATGTTTTGTTTATGCTAGCTTATCAGTTTACCGTCAAGTATCTCTCTGGTTGTAATCGATTCAGCCCATCAGATTTTTAATTTTAATATAAATTTCTGTTGTCCAAAAAAAAAAAAGGTTAATATCACTTATATGTGATCTCAGAATGATGATTGTATACGCGTCTCACTGTGGGTAAGCTTTTTTCTACGAAAATAATGAATTAATACAGTAACAATGGTCAGATAAATTAATACATATATCTCTTCGTATTGTTTGAATCAAAACGTGTGTGTAAGAACAAGTTAATAAGAAGTTGCTTCTCTTATTATTCTCTTGAGAAAATCCCTCAAAACTCAAGTACTCACACAAATCAAATCTCTCAAACTCTTAAGGTTGCAACAAGCCTGCAACTCTATTTATATCAAACGAGATAAACTACTAAACTTATTAGTAAAACACTTTAAGANAAAATCCCTCAAAACTCAAGTACTCACACAAATCAAATCTCTCAAACTCTTAAGGTTGCAACAAGCCTGCAACTCTATTTATATCAAACGAGATAAACTACTAAACTTATTAGTAAAACACTTTAAGATATATCCTAATCTTTTAGATAACTTCAACTTAATAGGATTAGGATTACTTGTACTTCAAGCTTATCCAACATTCTCCCCCATAAGCTTGAAGTTTCCTTGCTTCAAGTCTTTGACTCCTATCAAGCTTCTCATTTCTCTGTATCGGATTCTACCAAGTCCTTTGGTTAGAATATCTGCCTTCTGTTCACTCCCTGGTATGTGTTGAACTTCAATGAGATTGTTGTCAACACACTCTCTTATGAAGTGGTATCGTCGGTGTATGTGTTTAGATCTTCCATGAAACACAGGATTTCTCGTCAAAGCTATTGCAGATTTGTTGTCTATCATAATCACCACTTTCTCACGCTCCTTTCCCATGACTTCACTGAGCAAATCTTGAAGCCATATAGACTGTTTTGCTGCCTCCGTAGCCGCCATAAATTCAGCTTCACACGATGATAGAGCAACTGTTTCTTGCTTCTGAGAGCACCATGTTATAGGTGATTCACAGAAGTAAAACATATGTCCAGTTGTACTTCGACCATCATCTTCATCCACATTATGACTTGCATCACTGTAACCAATCAACCTTGCATTCTGTGTACGTCTGAAACTCAAACCATAGCTGAGAGTCCCCTGCAGATACCGCAGAATCTGTTTCATGGCTGCACCATGTGAGGTCTTTGGATCCTGCATATACCTACTCATAACTCCAACAGAGTATGATATGTCTGGTCGTGTGTGTAGTAGGTATCTTAAGCAGCCAATACTTCTTCTGTACTCTTTCTCATCTATGCTTTCCTCCTTTTGTGCTTTGGACAGCTTCAAATTCGGATCCATAGGCACATGAACCGCATTGCATTCTATCATTCCTGTCTCTTCTAAAATCTTCTTAGCATATCTTTCTTGGCTTAACGTAATCCCTTCACTAGTTTGTTCAACCTCAATACCAAGATAATATGTTAACTTCCCCAAGTCACTCATCTCGAATGTCTCAGCCATCTCTTTCTTGAATTCCTCAATCAGCTTGTGACTCGTACCAGTTACTAAGAGATCATCAACATAGACAGCCAGAAGTAGTAGATGTTCTTTCTCTGTTCTTCGATACACAGCAGGCTCTTTAGTACACTTAACAAACTTCAAATCTCCTAGTACCTTATTTAGTTTTTCATTCCATGCTCTTGGTGCTTGACGCAGACCATAGAGCGCCTTCCTGAGTTTATACACCTTCCTTTCTTGACCTGACATCTCAAATCCTTCAGGTTGTGAGACATACACATCTTCTTTTAAGTCTCCATGTAGGAATGCAGTTTTGACGTCTAAATGGTGTACTTGCCATCCTCTTGATGCTGCTAAAGCTAGAAGAAATCTCACTGTTTCTATTCTTGCCACAGGTGCAAATACTTCCTCAAAATCGATCCCATGTCTCTGTATGTAACCTTTTGCTACTAGCCTGGCTTTGAACTTGTTAATACTTCCGTCTGCGTTTCGTTTGACCTTGAAAATCCACTTTAGGCCGATTGCTTTTGACCCTGCAGGAAGCTCAACAAGATCCCATGTTCTGTTTTTCACTATTGACTTAATCTCATCTTCACATGCGTCTCTCCATACCTTTTCTTTTCTAGCCTCAGAGTAGCTCCATGGTTCATCGTTTAAGCTTAGCAATAATCTTTCCCCTTCTAGTTCTGCCAACAAGATATAATCATCTAAGTACCCTGGTTTCTTTCTTTCCCTTTGTGATCTTCTTAGTTCTGGTTCAGTTTCTTCATCGTCTTCTTCTTCTGGAGTTGAGGTTACTTCAACATTATCTCCTTCTTCTCCATTTGTAGTGTTAGTAATCTCATCATTATTGATACCATGATTCCCAAACTGACTAATATCGATACTCAAGGTTCCAGACTCTCTGTTTTTCTCACAAGTGTTCCAATCCCATCTTTTACTTTCATCAAAGACGACATCTCTACTCACCACCACTTTCTTGTTCTGAGGATCATATAGTCTGTACGCTTTCGTCCCTGGTTCTGTCCCAAGATGCACAAGCATTCTAGATCTGTTGTCTAACTTCTTAAGATGCTGTGAATCAATCTTTGCATATCCAATACAGCCAAAGATCCGTAGATGATCAATGCTTGGTTTTCTTCCTTTATACAACTCATAGGGCGTTTTGTTCTTTATGACTCTGGTTGCAACTCTGTTGATGATATATGTAGCGTGTCTGACTGCTTCCCCCCAGAGATAATTTGGTAAACCCATGTGTTTCAACAGACTTCTAGTCATATCAAGAAGGGTTCGATTTCGTCTCTCTACAACCCCATTCTGTTGAGGGGTATAAGGGGCTGTTAGATGTCTTGTTATCCCACTTGATTCACAAAAACTCGAGAATTCGTTTGAAACAAACTCTCCTCCTCTGTCTGTCCTGAATATTTTGATAGATGCCCCTGTCTCCTTTTCAACAACAGCTTTGAAGATTTTGAATTTGTCAAATGCTTCTCGCTTCTCCTTGACAAGTATTGTCCACATATAGCGAGTAAAGTCATCTATAAGGACAAATATATACCTTCTCTGTGATGGTGTAGACGGTGTTATTGGTCCGCAGAGATCTCC